TTCTTATCACTAATTTCTTTTCCATCTGACCTGCAAATTCCCATCTGCTACTACTCAGCAGAAATAAAGCACTGTCTTTATTTCCTTAAAAAGCATTTGCATCACCACAGGTGGCCAGGAGATAATAGGAAAACAGACATTTTTATAACATTTCCCATTCATGCTGTCTGTTTCTCTGCTTCCTGGGGGATTATTTCAGAAACAGATGACAGCAGAGTCAGGCATCATAACTACAAATCACACAAGGGGCAGTGCCAAACAGTCAAACAGGACTATGTATAAAATCACATCACAGCACAATAAAGATAGACACCATCCTGAAGATGTCCATTTAGCTCTTTCATTATAGAATATGCTGGAACAGTTGATAAATCAAGAAGGAACTAAGAGTGATACTCAACATAGTATTTAACAGCATTAAATAAAAGCACTGAAATAGATGTAAAGAGAGCTAGCCCAGTCAAAATGAAACCAGAACCAAAGAAAGATGAAAGTTTAGTGTACATGCCAGAAACATGTGGAATAAGATATTGCTGGTTAGTGGCACTTGAAAAAAAGTACATTTTTTGACTCTTCATTGTGCAATAAAGTTCTTCAAACAAGGAGTATAGTACTGATACAAAGCTATGCTTAGTTTTCTTCTCAAAAGCACTTACCAAATGACAGCAGAGAGCCCCATCACAAAATAATTAAGTTTTCACTGAGAATTTGAGTGTTTTAAACCTAATGCTCAGAAACAACACACAAGGTTGCTTGGAAAGTTTGTCAGAAAAAAAAATAGAAATTTGCTATGAAAGAAAAAACTGCTCATAACTTAAGACTGTGCAGTGTGAACTGGAAACTCTGAAATGGGAACTCATAATTAGGGAATATGCATCCACAACATGTAGTAATTGCAACTACTGAATAAAATGCAAACACCAAGAACAGTCAACATTTCTTAACACAGAGATGCTAAATAAAGTTGCCTTGCACTGATAGGAAAATGGCAGCTTTTTCACTTGTGTGTGAGCAGTTTAAATTCTAATGCAAATGTGTATAATTTATACACATTACTGATGGTTCTCTGAAGACAGCCATTTTATAGTTTCTGTGATACATCATTAACAGAGGAGCTAAGCAGGAGACGGGATCTCTACTTGTTAAAAACTGTGATCTTCCAACTGTTGCCACTTGCCTGTGGTTACGTTATTGCCAAATGATGCCCCATTTAGTAAATTCAATCTCATGTTCATTTTGCTTTGATAGAATAACATATGAGGTCATATGCTAAAAAACTTAGGACTACAGCTGCACTATCTGTAGTGAAGTAGGTGGATCTTTTCTCACAGCCAACAAGTCACAGGACAAGAGCTGCACCAAGGAGGTTTAGATTGGATACTGGGAAAAAAATTCTTCACTGACTGAGTGGTCAAGCATTGGAACAGGCATCCCAGGGAAGTGGAACCACTATCCCAGGAAATGTTTGAAAGATGTGTGGATGTGGCACTTTGGGATATGGTTCAGTAGTGAACACGGTGGTGCTGGGTTAATGGTTCACTTGCTGAATTTAGAGGTCTTTACGAACCTTAAGGACTGTACAATTTAAAAGCACTAATTTCCCACATATCATTCAGTCAGAGGATATTTTATTTTAATTTGAATCTTTAGAAACCCTCTTGAACAACTCACAGCTGCTAAAAGGGGAAAAATTCAAAAGGCAAGCCGGCAATAGCTGTTCAAAAGGCAAGCAATTTTTCAGAGAGCATGTAGTAGACTTTTGCTAATTTATCTTTCTAGAAGTTTCCCATTTACTTGCATGATTTTATTTATTTATGTATTAAAAACATCTGGTTTCCTTTTATAAAATACCAGCAGAATAATGAAAAAGCAAAGATTGCCTCATATATATCATAACTTCTTACCCATCAGCCTATAATTAGCAGCCTCTCCAGGAGACTGGAACCTGGCAATAAGGGCAGCATATTTCTAGACAGGGAGCCTGCCACTGAACAGCTACTTACTCTTTAAGATACTCTTTTAAATTATAAGAGTAGGTAGGAAGAGCTATAGCAAAAGGTTCCACTGCTTCTCAACAGTAAGCATCTTAAAACCACCAATCTTGTCTATTTATGTACCTTTTAAAGCTTTGTTCAGCTTTTGTTTTTCAGACTAATCTTCTATTCTAGGCATCTGCCATCATCTGTTTCAAAAGAAATAATTGATAGAATGGGCTAAAATTGAACATGCAAGCTTTCTCATAAGTTCTTAAAGGAGTTCTAACATTTCTGTCCTTTGGGCTATAAGCTGATATTTGACAAAAAGGTCAGAGATACTTCATGAACATGCCATCTCCAATCATCACTAAAATCTATCAAAAAATCTGACTAATTTATAAGTCTCTGGAAACTGGACGCCATTCTCAGCATAAATGTGGTAACAGCTGCTAGTGCTCTGAAGATTTGTGCTTTCATTTGGCATTTGTGGATCTTTCATGTTTGCCATATAGTAAGAAAGGAGTAAGTAACACATCCACAAAGCATAGCCTATACCAGAAACACAAGTGCTATGAATTTAATTTAAACTGACTTCCAGGAGCCAGTATCATACCAGCCAAAGAAGCTAAGTTGTGAGAGTTGTCCTTACTTCTAATGTACTGTTTTATTGCATTCAGTGTGGAAGAAAAATAAATAGGATCCAATAAGAAATGTAAAAGAGGGCATATACCATTACTTAATGGCTCACATTGAAGCCTGGAATATCCTGGGAGAAAAAAACCCAACCATAGATCTCATGCATTACTGAGAAAATAGACACAAGATTTGGATACACATTTCTAAGACAGGGAGAACTAGAGGTGATCACTCAGCATGAGTGATAAAGAAGATGAGAATAGAATCAGAATGTGCCATTGCAAAAATTTCAAGACAGCAGAGAGTTCAGCATTAGCCATGTTAAATTAAATTCACTGAAGGGCATCCAGAAAAGGAGATCAGAGTGAGAGAATAGTACTGTAAAATAATTTGACTGTATTCATCTCAAGCCATGAACAATAGACCATAGAGTGAACAAAACTTACTGAATTATTCTCTTAAATCATTACCTGACATCCTCAAAAAACAAACTCTGTGGGACCATACTTAAACAAGAGGGAATCATGGATTTTATTCAACATTTAGAAAACTAGTAAGTTAAAGCTCAGAGATACATGAAATCAGTTGCAAAAGGAGAAAAGAAAGGATTCTATACTGTGGTCACCAAGGCTGAAGCAGAAACTTCTGAAAATTCTGAAACTCAATAGCAGCAGGTCTCACCTCTGCATCACATGGAATTCACTTACTGAGATCCTAGTTTTCAAAACAGATGTGTGCTCCTTTGAAGTAGTGCATACTACTAGTTCCATATACAGGACTACACCTCTTCTGACATTATTTAACAGGAGCACGATCTATTCAGGGGATTTATACACAGAAATAGTCACAGAGGCTGTGACATTTTTTTGCTTACTCATAGACCATAGTTGCTAAGTCAGCAACATCTTAAATTGCTGACTTTGACACACAGTTCTCAAGGCACTAGGCTACTATTATGTCCATCCTGTTGGATATGTGCAACAAGAGATAGCTCAAATAATTGTTACTCAGACAAAGCATGGTATATCAGTTAACAAAAGAGCAATTTCCACTTCTTTATAAAGTTTGAATTTGATGAAATACATCTGTTTATAAGTGAGGAGAAACTTTTTTAAGAATAACACATTCAGTACTCTAAAGGAGACTGGCTGAATATATGGTAAAAGCAGAACTGAAAACATTGCCAGACTCTCTTTAACAACCTGAAAAATAAGAAACTTGTCTTTTCCAGTGACTTTATTGAGTATATTTAATGATAAGCATTTTCAAATGCTGAGTGATTTTAAGTTGCCTGAGTAACCTCAGTTTTATAGTTTCCAAAAACAGTTAAAAACATTATAAACATTTCTTCTCAAAAAAAAAGTTTTAATATTGTTAAATGCACCATGGAATGATTTCACAGATAAGTCAGGCTATCTAGGAAAGCTTCTTTAAATATTCATCAGGAAAAAAAATATTCTAGCCATTTTCCCTTCACTAGTTGTGTTATACTATTCCTCAGAAAAGGTGAAAACAATTTAAAGGGTTAAGAAGATGATTCATTGTCTCTTAGATCTATGCCAATCATTTATTTACTATTTCCAACCGAGCTAATGTGTAGAATAGGGATGATCTTAACTATCCCAATAGGGTATTAAGTAGATTAGTTAATATTTGAATTAGTGAAGAGAAAACCCTTGATTATCTGCAGTCACATAAACCGGTACAAAGTGTCAAAGATAAAATTTAATGGCAAAGATCATAGCAATAAGTTCACTGTAAAATGTGATGGGTTGTAAAGTATCATACGACAAAGATATCCTAGTGTTGAATTAATTACCAAAGAGTAAGGAAAAGTATGTTAAGTGATGTCTACACCACAGGTTTGTGATGGTTAACAGCACCAGTAAAAACACCTGGCCAGATAGCCCAAAGGCACAGATAATGCTGTAGCTGGAATTCCAGCAAATTTGCACTAATACCTGCACTATTTTGTATCAAAAGTAATTTCAGAGGGAAAAATATTATCTAGCATAGATATCCTGTTGATGTTCTGCAAAATTTTGTACAGTGCTGGATTTTTTTTTCCTTTAATTTCTATTTTTGGTATATTTTGGTAGTCCTACAGAGTGCTTTGATTCAAAGATAGACGACTTAATGAAAACAGCAGATGAAGAACAGCATTGCAGACTAAGATATGAGTTAAAAAGTTAAGAAATCAAGTTATGAGAGAACCTTGTTATGCTCACAAAAGTATACATACCTAAGCTCAGAAAAATAGATGGTCACTCTCCTAAGGGCAATTTTTATTTAAAGAACTAACAGAATTCTCTCAAGAAGGGTAAACCATTAGTAAATCATGTTCTGCTTGGCAAAACAGGCAAAAAAAATAACTTTTTCAGTACTTACATCAAACGTGGGAGTGCTTTGCTGGGCACTCTGACTACATGGCTCTCTAAAGCAGTCAGTGAATGGAAGCAAAAGACCCATGGCAATAATGCGAGAACACAGTTTTTCTGCTTCTTCTTTTGGCGCATTTTCCTGCTGGCTGAAGAGCTTTTCCAGCAGAGTTCGTCCTGTCAAGGTGATGACAAAGATCAATAAGAATTTGCAGGGCACAAATATTAAGGCATTACAATGTGTAAGGAAAATCTAAACTATTAAAAGCAAAAATATTAATTTTTTTTTTAAAAATACTGAGAAAAGTATCTGATAGCAAGTCTTTAACATAAAGTATTGCCACATAATAATTGTAACTGATCTGGAGCCGGATTAATTAGAATATTCAATAAAAAATTTATGTTGTGTTGGCTGCACTGTGGAGTAGGAACAAAAATCATAAGATGTTATTGTAGCACCAGTTTCTTATTTATATACATTATACAATTGTCCTGAAGGGAAAAATGAGATAATAGCAAGAAATGAAGTAACATTTTCCAAGTGTGTCACACAAAGTTATTACAGAATTAAGTCTTCCAACTCTTGGAACGAGCCTTTGTTTTTTGAATCATAAAATGATCATAGTCTTTGAGAAATTGTGCTATGTTTCTTTGGAGAAACTCTCAATAAAAGACTAATGACAAAAATCCCTGATAACTATTCTGTATAAAATTGTATTTAATACAGCTCCAGAGTAGCAGAATCCTCCAAACTAAAATGCAGTGCCACAAGCAGCAATTCAGAGAAGTAAAACTTTTAAAGAGAAAGAAGAGACTTATTCCTCTTACAGGGCCAGTTTTCATGATCAAAATGTTTGCTTTGTTATCTAACCAGAACACGAAAGGAGAGCATATGTTATAAAGTATATTATAGGACACACTATTAGTGTGTTTCAAAGGTCATTATGCTTTGTGCAGTTAGCCAGAAATAGACTACAAAAATTAGTTTTATATAAAGGTTGAGGTAAAATCTACATTGTAAGAATGTAAAATTGCTTGATTAAGCTGTAGAACATCAAAAGACACCTAAGTTTAGATTTGGAGGACGTTGATAAAGAGATTAACTAGATCTACTGGAAGAGAAAAGACAGATGGAATAATAAAGTTAATTTCATGTTTGATAATATCTAGCTGTGAAACAATTTGTACATAAATAAGGTACATTTGTTCTATAGTATGTTTTTTCCACCCACTCACTTATAGCCAAAGGTATTTACCAGAAAAATATACTGCATTAAGAAAGCATTTTAGTGTAATTTAAAGTAGTATTAATAATAAAAATAACATTTGATAATGATAATACTGCTTTTTTTACATATAATCCAAGATTTCTGATTGAACACTGATTTTACTGAAAATGTAACATTTCTCAGGCTTTCTGAACACACTAAAAAGATTTTTCTTTTAAACATCTGGATGCAATTTTAAAAGGATATTTTAAGTGATATTTAGCCCAAAGTGTCTGTATTATCTTAGCTTCATGTGGCAACACAGCCTAAAATAAACAATACATTAAAATGTTGGAAATTATTTCTAAGATTTTCCTCTCCACAACTGAAGATTTGATAATTATCTGATTATTTAGTCCAAGTTTCCTAGCCTTTTATTAAACACAATGCAGTACATTCAAGGGGATAAGCCAGGAGATAAACTTGTAAGAGACATAAGATTTGTTATGTTTGCTGATTAGTTCGTCTCTGTGCCTTGGTTACACCACATATAAGGTGATGCTAACAAAACTGCTTATTCAACATATCTCTCTATCACAGTTCAGTTGTTAAATTTCAAAGTAATGTATTAATTGAAAATAGTCTTCCTTACTGATTGAGAGGCACTGTGATTTTTAACAATGATTTACCCATAGTTGTAACCTACAGAAAAGTAACAGTGTGAAACCATGGAAGCGAAGCATAAATAGGGAGTTATCTGCCAACAGATGTTTTTGTGATTTTAGCAATTTTTGTCTGGGGTTGCAGTTGCCAAACCTTAGTAGTGCTGTAAAAGACAATTGAAAAAACCCTAGCTACTGACCTCTTACTACAACAAATTGATTCTCCTATCCATAACTACTGAGGTTAAGCCATATAAGGCACTTCAGAAAAAAATACAAGACTGGCATCACACTGGCACAAGAGCACCAAGAAGATAGCATTTCTGCTAGTATTTCTGGGGCAAAGCACATCTTATCACCATAGTATCACCTTGTATCACTGAACAAAGTTCAACCACATGGAAAATGGTTTGATTAAAAGAGAGATCACAAGTGATGAAGATGAATGGGGAAGTCAATGCTTTATACTTATCTAAAATGCACAGAAGCAAAGTAAATAAATAAATGATAATTTCAAAAAAGTACAGCAGAGGAAGAGCACTTTGCACACACAAAATAAGATTATGCAAGAAAACCACACATTTCTTCATGCTATATTAAATATTCAAATGTTTTCCATGACTTCTGAATGTCAGACTTGAAAGATTATTTTTTTCTTGTCTGGATGTTTCAACATTTCAATAATTCTGTCATGTTTAGAGAGTCCTCTCCTGCACATGCAGAAACAGATTAGCCTCTTCCTTTTGCTTTACCCTAATTAGAAGGAACAATATCTGCAAATTACAAAACAGGAAATGAGGCTTTTTTCCCCCCTTAATCCATCCATTCATTTGCTAATTTCTATAGCACTTAACAGTCTTGTTCCAGTTCAAATACATTGTTCAGAATCCTAGTTGCTATTCAGTTGGAGTTTAATTTGTATAGTGGTTATTAACTATTGCTTAAAAATGCATAAATACTTTTTTTTATATTATCTGAATGATAAAGTAAGAAAAGTCACCAATTAACTTAATTTTTCTAAACTGTACTCTGCATTACTTGTGCCGTTTTGTCCATCTGAACAGTCTTGGAATGAATAGAATAGTAAAAATTACGTAATTATATTTCAACACAAATGTAGGAATGTTTGTATAAATTTGTGCTCTAATGCAGGTTGTGTGTTCCTTACAATTGCTATGAAGATCTGAGGACAGACACAGAAATTAAACTAACAGAAATACATTTTGTCCATTCAGTTAACACATTTTACCAAATACAAGCTGAAAAAAAGTTCAGTTTTCAAAGCATAGAGAAATAGTTTCACTGCGAAAAGCCATGAAAATAAAATCTGTATTAACAATAGATAGGTTATTTGTTTAAAGCGCTTAATGGGCAACATATAGAGAACATACCATCAAGCCACTGAAGTTTTGTACCTAACCGGCTAGGGCTCATAATCAGAATGGTCAGTACAAGTGTAAGAACCACTCATCCCTCATCAAACTTAAAAAATAGCCAAAGTTATAACAAGGACAATACGCGTTTTCCTCAAAGGGGAATAGAAGGTAAACCCTACCAAAAGAAAATGTATTGCTACTTGAGAATGTGACTCATTTCCCCAACACCACACAGTGCTGCAGTACCTGTCAGCGGAGTCACTGTGTCAACATAGCTTCAGCCCTGCCTGGAACTATTTCACATGAGAGAAAAAACATTTGAAAGCCACCACTTGACAAGAAGTAGTTCCTTCCTTGCTAAGAGCAGCAGATATTTCTCTTTCACCTAATTTCAGGTGAAAAGAGAGTTGTCACTATAGCAGAAGCCTTTCAGCTCTGAAGTCCTCTGTGACCTAGGGATGTGGGTGCTGAATCTGCCTCACTGCCCTCTGATCCCACATTTGCCTGCACTG